CTTTATTCCCCCAGGTACCATGAGGCAATTCACAATGTCGGCTTTCTTTATACATAGCACAAGCTGTAAGGTGCTCTCTAGGACTTCTTGTGTTAAGGGGCCGTGCAACAATGATCTCATTTCTATTTATTATTTCAGGAAGATTAATTACTGGTATCTGCCTTCTTCTTTCTTGTAAGGTTGGAGAAGGGATTGAAGAGTTTACAAAAAGTTATAAGCAAGCCAAATAACTGATGCCTGAGCAGTCCATATGTGATAAAATACTGTTTAATGCATCGAGATTTAATACATTTATTTAGTTGACTCAAGTGGTAAGGATGGCAGCGAATTATACTTAAAAAATGTAAGTTCAAGTCTCTTTGTTTGTTACCAAATAGCAAACAATTTTAATGGGCTATGTGGCCATCCTTGGAGTTGGAGGTAAATTTTATTCCGTATATGTGAACGAGTTGGTTTCCAAGTTAAACGTGAAACAAATTGGGCCTTTTCAAAGGCCCAAATACCCTTATTTTATATATATATATATAGGTGTCAGCCTTACCTCCTAAATAGTATGAGGAAAATAATTTAAAATTACGTCGTTTCAATAAATTTTTATTGAAAAAGACTAAACTACTATATTTTTAAAGCATGCATTAAGGTGATTTTTTTTTCCTCTTAATTTTTTAGAGGTAAGACAGACAAGCACTAACCTCATATATATATATATATATATAAACAGAAATTTAATTGAATTTTGTAGAGACCAAACTCCCTATTTGTATCATGTACATTATTTTTTTTACTATCAACATTCTCAAAAGTTTTTACTCCTAACCAACACTATCTATAATTTAAAACTCATAACAAACTTAAAAATCAATAGTTAAACTCTTTATTTATACCCTGATTTTATTAATAATTTAAGGTTTTTTTATGGATTTCAAATTATAAAAAATGTTGATAAAAAAAAATAATGTACAAAGTGCAAATAGGAGATTTAAGCCTCGTTTGGTATAGCGGTTTTGAGGTAGCGGTTTGTTCCTAAACCACTAAATATAGGTGTTTGGTAAATTTATATATTTCGAAACCATTACAATTAAAGTGTTTGGTAAAATTTTTATTTAGCGGTTTGAAACTAGCGAATAACGGTTAGGGTTCAAATCGCTAGTGGATTGAAAAAGTTAGTTTATGTAGCTTTTTGTACCAAACCGCTAGTGAATTAGAATTTTTTAATTTTATTGACAAATTTATCCATTTTAATTTTTTAATTTGTG